CAGTACGAATACCATTTTCGTTTCAAAGGATTTAAGTGGAACAACGAAAACGGTGAATTCTTAATGTTGCTTACAACAGAAATTAGTACTGCCGCGTAATTCCGCTTGCACTTAATGAATCATGTTGTAAAGCCACGACCTCGTAGCTTTGTGGAAATCGTGGCATGGAAACGTAGTACAAAAGACGAAGAACTCAGGAGAGGATAGCCGCGGTAAAATATTTATTACCTGCGTATAGGCGACTCCCGCGCTGCACAAGTTCTTCAAAGTTCCTCGAGAGAGCTGGCATGCAAGATAATACCAAAAGAAAACAGAAGAAACGAGAAGAGAAGGAGTCGTAGTATCCTGTGGATGACGCGCATCCTACCTATCGTGAACCGCTTTCGTTGTTTCAGTTTTCTAACTTTTGCATTACTTATACATACAATCTGCAATCTTCGCGAAAGATCTGTCACTGCGGTGGAAACAAGGGTTTGCAGTAAAAAAAAAAAAAAAAAAAGAAAGAAAAAATTATGCGCGAGATCAAATAAAACTTTGCGTACACGTGTGCGCAAAAATTTAAAATTTTTAAATAAAATTTACAAAATACTTATTCTTTTGTTTACTTTTGATATTGTTGATCTGAAAAATAAATTCAAAAAAAAATAATTTTTTCATATAATGAGCGATATATACGTGTCGCACAAATTATTGCAAAAAAATGAGTCGATAAGTAGATATGCCGTTTAATCGCTGCTATAAATAAGCAGATTCGTTCTTTAAGCATTTATTCACCACGATTGGACAAAAATTAAAAAGAAAAATTGCGGTGTCACGTTTCAAACTCGCGCGCGCGTTTTCAGGCAGTTGGCCAAATAAGACAACACTGTTTACGTTGTTTAACGTGACGAAAATACGCCGGCGAACAATTAAACATCAAATTGCGCAATCACCCGCACGCCAAACGTCAGTGACGAATTCGCGCAAATAAATACGGTAATTATGCAGGTAAGCGTAATAAATAAACTCACCCACCGGACCGTGTCGGTGATGACGATACGTTGGTCGCTCCGGTCCGTGGTTAATCCGCGGTCCGCGCGGCAACTCGTCGTCGGCACCAATTTCATCCGGAATGTTCATTCACGCGCGAACACGCGAATATCGGAAAAATTGTGATTAATCACACGACCCTCGTTCGACACTCGATCCGAACGCGCTCGCGTTCGCTCGCGATTTACTTTGAAACGGGACGCGCACATAATGGCGTCCTTCCGGGGCGAATCAAATCGAACCGAACCGTGGCGCGAATCGACGCACAAACGCGCACCGGTGTTTCACACCGGCCGACACATACATATATACACGCGCCCGATGTAAAAGCGTCCGAATTACTTACACACACTTTATCGGAACGATTGACACTAACCAATCGACACTCCCGTGATACGCCATTGAACTGAGACCGCGATGTATTTCGAACGAGCGAGCGATGCGAAATGCGCGGCGTCGCAAGAATTTTCTCGATTCACGAGACAAAACGCGCTTCGGGCACGAAATATAACGGCACAGGTCAAAAGTCAATCGAGATAACGTTCGCGTTTGCTCGCACATCGTTCGACAACGTCTGCGAAACACGGACACTCGGGGTAAACGTGACGATCACTTTTTTTCGATAGATGTAAAACGCGAGAAATACAAACTGCAGTTTCTATCATCATCTTAACGCGACCGCCACAAAGCGACTCGAAGTTGCGCGCGGGTCGCGCATGCGCCTGTCGTACGATACAATCGATATATTTCGCGCGCTTCTTCTCTCTCGTTCTCTCTCTTAAAATCGATCAATCGAATGATCGATTCTACAGTCGGCGATCGATCTACCGCGACAAAATAAAACCTGTCGATGAAAGATATTTGTTTTGTTTTCGCGTTCAACAACAACAGCTCGAACTTCGATCTCACTCGTGCCATCTGTGCCAAATAATTTAATCACAGGTAACTCTGTAAACACATATCGTCATCCGAGAGCTAGGAGTGTTCCACATGATGTTCCGTGGACTCCGTTCCTCACGATGTTACTAGTGAGGGATTTCGCTGCTTTCCATCTGTGAGCCTTTTCTTCCTTTCTCACCCTTTGCCTAAACCGTCTCCGCGGACGGGCCCCTTTATTTTGTCGTTCTCTTTCCCCGCCATCACGCAGTCGCGAAGTTAGACGAAACTCGTTATCGGATAGAACGGGCGATTACCGCCTCGTCTCGAGTTGGTGCTCGACTTTTAACGCGATTATACGTCGCTGAAACGCTAAATTGCACGGCGCAACGAGAGTTAACGCCCCGCGAAAACTGCAAGTTCGAGAGATGCGCCCCGAGGAAGAGCGGCTAAAAATAACCGAAGCGACACGAATCGGCGTCAGAAGAGGCGTTTGCGTTTTTCTTGCTGCTCGCAACGTAATCATTGCGACGCTTTATACGAAACTTTTTTAAACACTTTTTTCACATATTTGTACAAAAAATATATGATTTGTCGAAATCTGCGAAAAAAATTGATTTATAATTTGTTACGCTCTTTCTCTCACGGATTATCAGTATTTGAATATGTTACGCGGAACATAATCAATAAGCCGCCGTAAAATATTCTTTAATCATATAAAACGTAATGGGAGGTGGCGGCAAATAAGAAAACGCGCGCGATATAACGCGAACACATAAAGCAAAACAACAATTCCGAAAAATCTCTTGTGTTTCATAAAAGCGCTACAGTTCTGCGTATTTTATGCGGCTGCGAGCCGCAAATAGACCGAGGAAAGGCTACAGGCAGAAACGAGAAAGGTAAACGAAAGCTCCGATAGGTCGGGCCAATCGCTCACCTGCTCAAGCAATCGCACACCTGTACTCGCCGTCCGCGAAGCTAAACCAATCGGGACCCGTACGTATCGTTGTTTGGCCAGTTTACGAGCTCTCCCGCGCTCTTCGAAGATATCGATTACCGATCGCCTTGGCGGCTATCGCTTCCTCCTAATACTGAAAAATGGAGCAAAGCCTTCGCTTCCGCGAGATCCCCTGCGAGAAAGAAAAGGAGCGCTAGGCTATCGCCGTGAAATTCTCTCCGACGCGTCTGACGCCCGATGGAGGACTTCGCGAAGAATGCTCAAAGTTTCCGCCAGCTTCCGGTCCGCCGGCTTTCGCTGATGGCTGCAATTAGACCTCTGGCTAGCTATTCTTTTATAGAGCGCGCGCGCGTGCACACGTTCTACCGCGCTCTCGAAAAAGTCGACCAGAGAAAACTAGAGACTCCATGAGTAAGAATATCCTTCTTAATTGAAAGCAAACTTTATTATATTTCAAAAAAACTGGAGAATTAAAAGTAAACAATTGTAATTTACGTATTTATTTTTTGATTAATGTCTGTTTTTGAAAATACGGAGAGAGATGTATGGATTTTTTTATGTTAACATGTACAATATATATACGTGTGAAGAAAGGAAGAAACGTAAGTTACAATATCTTGATTACATCGCTTACGGGATACATTTACCTTGACAAAGCCGTTTGTGGTCTTCCTGTCGACAAATTTCCACTTTACGTTTCCTCTCCGAATCGTTATAATGAATAATCCCATTCCTATACGGCGGAACATCACGGAGGAACATATTGTATCTTATCGAGCGCAGAGCAGTTACAAAGTCCTGTGCCGCGCAATGTAGTAGCTATTTCGCTGGAAGCAATTCCGCTTAAGATTCCGTGTAACAAAGGTCTGTTTATATTCGAAATATCAGCGACAAAATTTTCGTAGAGCGATTCTCCGGTTGTTACGGCTTTGTATCAAACGAAGAGCAAAGGACGCAAAAGTTCTCGTTCACGGTAAATGGTCTGTGTGCTCGCATGCGAAAGTTAATCGCACGAGTCTAGGAGAAAGCGCTCTTATCTGGTTTATTACCTGTGCAACGGATTTGCATTGCGGTACTGGCCAATTTCTTCGTGGCTTCTGTTACTGGTGTAACTTTGACCTGCACAAAATGGATTGCATTATTACAATAATGCTATTCATGAACCTCTGTGGTCCAGCCGAATGTTATTCAGATAGACAGATAATACATCTTCATACATACGTACGTGTCACATATGTCCGCTTCCGATATAATGACACTGATGTCACATATGTTACAGGAATTGCTCTGCCTTCGACAACCGAGCGAGCAAGAGAGAAAGAGAGAGATTCGCGAATCGTTGAATATTCATACGTCCAATTCGGCGAATGGTTTACGTCCTTATATTCGTATCATTCATCGTGCAAATAAGTCAATACGGTCGAGCGATATGAGATTATTGTTGCGAGATGGGCTGCAAATTCTATCAAGCCAGACTTCTCTTGTCTGTGAGATTTTAATCAAGTTTGTCAATTTTTGTAAATTTGCAAGTTGAATTCTCCAATAGAGCGAGAAATCACGACTATAATCTTGTTCGCGAATTATTTTCCGAATGGCAGACATCGTCTCGAGTGTTGTATTTTCGAATTTTCGTGCGCGTATTTCAACGTGGTTCGTCGCGAACATTTTTGATATATTCGCAAAAGGAATCGTGCTTCGTGTGAGATGCGATAATTCTTGCAGAATTGCGAGATAACTTTGTAAAAATATTGCGGCGCCGAGTAAGAGCTTTGCGTAAGAATATTACACAAATATGCATCTGAAAATAAATTGAAAATCCCGTTCCGTTATAAAAATGTTTCAAATTTCAAGGTCCGTGTATCTCTTATTGAGTTTTGTGTGTATGTGTTATTATTATTATACTTACTGTTGTAATAAGTTTTGTAAGTTGTTTCTGTTGCGTATTTAATAATATAAAGTAAGTAATATACAATTGCTATTTTCATAATTACATTAAACTGCTCTTACTTTTGTCCGTCAGTTTTGATGCGCAAAGCGGCAGCCGGAAAAAAACAGACCGAAAGATAAAATAATGTTTCAAAGCATTTGTAGCGTGACTTGGAACCTGCCTCTAGGTGGCGCTTGTGTAGCCTTTATTGTTGTTATTCACATAAAGAGGTTGTGTTTTCCAGCGTTTTCTGATGTTTACGTGCTAAAAAGTTGAAAATATCGCTTGACTGACAGAAGACACGTTAAATTCAGAAAATAAGTCTGATGTTTACAGAGAATATCTCAAGTTGATAACAAAATGGAAATCGGATTAATCGAATTAAAGGACGTAAAAGCTGTACCAGATATAATACATCCTTACACTCAACGAGTCAAGGCTGAATGTACACCGCTCGTTATTGACAATGGTATTTTATATTTGCACCATAATTCTTTATATTTTAAATCTATTTATTTTACTTGGATTTAACTGTAGTTCTTTTCCTTATCCGAGTATGATTATGTGTTATTGTTTTGTTTTACATGAACAATAAGCTTGACAATATAATAAATTAGACTTTTGTATATAAATTTGTTTTGACACGATAACTGTGTGTTTAATTTGCATTAGGATCTTATAACTGTAGAGTTGGTTGGGCTACTGAAAAAGAACCACAATTGATATTCAAGAATCTCATAGCCAAGCCACGAAAAGAACGTGGCAAGAAAGATGGGGAGCCTCAAGTTGGAAATGACATAGCAAATATTGAAGCTGTACGATTTCAACTGAAGACTCAATTTGACCGAAATGTAGTAACGCATTTTGAGGCTCAAGAGCAGATATTTGATTACACTTTTACACATATGGGTATAGATACGGAAGGCTGTGTAAATCATCCGATTATTTTGACAGAAGCATTTCTCAATCCTAATTATTCTCGTAATTGTAAGACAATATCACTGATAATATGATTTTTATACACATTAATGTGTGTTTATAAATATTAAACATATTTCTTACAGTAATGGCAGAATTGTTGTTTGAATGTTACAATGTTCCATCAATAGCATATGGAATTGATTGCTTATTTTCATACCAGCATAATAATTGCCCATCAGATGGTTTGATAGTTAGCATAGGATATCATACAACTTATATAATACCGATATTAGATGGGAAAGCAGTTTCTACCAATGCAAGAAGGATTAATGTTGGTGGATATCATATCACATCATACATGCATAGACTTCTTCAATTAAAGTATCCAGTGCATGTTAACGCGATAACACCTAGCCGCGCAGAGGTATGTATTATATTTATATAAAAAATAATAATTTATATAATTAAATCGCTAGATATACTATGTATACATATATTTAACAATCTTCAGGAGTTAATACACGAACATTCGATAATTGCTTTAAATTATCAAGAAGAATTATCAAAATGGGCAGACGCAGAGTATTATGACACACACGTTTTGAGAGTACAGTTACCATATATTGCTCCAGTTACTGCTCCAGGTTTAACACTTGAGCAGCAAAAAGAGAGAAAACGAGAATTAGCGCGAAGACTGATGGAAATTAATGCAAGAAAGAGAGAAGAAAGAGTTAGTATACTTTATAAAGTTTTAAATTTTTATTGTTATATTAAAGTAATATTTATTGTTTTACATTTAACTTTTTATGCCAGTTAGCAGAAGACGAGGAACAGCTTAATCAACTATTGGCGGTCCAAGATCTTTTGGAAGAAGGTGAAATAGATGAGTTTGATCAAGCATTAAAGACTTACTCTCTTGCAAATGAAGCTGATTTAATAAAAATGATTAACAACCTACAAGCAAAAGTAGAAAGAACCAGACAAAAAATTGTCGCTGCTAATTCGCAAGAGGAAAATATTGTAATGGAAGAAAAACCTAAAATTAAGTCAAGTCTCCAACCTAAAGATCAACAGGATTTTGATGAGTGGATTGCTGGAGTCAGAAAGAAAAGGTATTTCTGTTATGCAAATTGTTTAATATGTAATAATAATAATAATATTGTATGTATTAATAAGTAAATAAATCATTATTTTTCATAGACAAGAGATATTAGATAAACGTATGGCAAAACGACAACGAAGGCAGGACATGGCAAAGCGAAGAACTGCTGCTGCGCAAGAAAGGATGCGCATTATTAGCCAGTTGGCGAAAAAAGAAAAGCGTGATGATGATTTTGGTATGCGGGACGAAGATTGGGACGTGTACAAAGTTATAAATAGAGTATGTATTTGTTTTTTATATCGCGAATGACAAACACTGACATCTCTTTTGTTACGAAATGTTATTTATTATGAAATGCAGGAAGGCGGCGATTCCGACTCGGAATTAGAGCAGGAAAAACTGTTGGAATTAGAAGATGTTTTACGTCATCATGATCCAGAATTTGACAGTGCCGGTTCTAGTGTTCCCATGGTTCCCGGAGAAACTCATCAACTTCACGTAGGTGTAGAACGTTTACGGGCACCGGAATTATTGTTTCAGCCGTCTATGATTGGTTCCTTGGAAGCCGGAATTGCCGAAACAATTGAATTTGTTTTAAAAGAACATTCTTCCGAAGAACAGACACGTCTGGTAAGTAACGTGTTTCTTACTGGCGGATCTGCAGCTTTTCCAGGGTTATTAGAAAGATTAAAACGTGAGTTACGCGAAATTCGACCTTTTGGGTCACAATTTCAAGTTAACATTGCAAAAAATACCAGTTTGGACGCTTGGTATGGTGCGAGAGATTTCGGCTTAAGTGGCAATCTTCCGGAGTATTTAGTCACTCGCAAAGAATACGAGGAGAAAGGTGGGGAATATTTTAAAGAACATTCGACTAGTAATACTTACACTCGATCTCCTGATCCTTTGCCGATGAACCAAGTACCTGTAACTTCCGAACAGGTAATTGTGGAGGATGCTGTAGTTGATATGGAAATTGAATAAAACTTTTATTATTATTATATTATTTAAATATTTTACTAATGTGACATGTAGGTAAACAAAGAAATAGATTATGTATAAACAAAAGAAAGATTTGTCCAATAAGAAACATATGTATATATATATATATACATATGTATGAATGAAATATCTTCTTATTGACTAGAATGTTTAGTAAAATATATGTATAACAAACAACATTTTTCATGGATATCTACTTTATTACACAAGTATTTCTGTTTGTTCATTTTATTACGAACAAACTACATTGTAGTCTGTTTGCTGATCACAATATACAGTTCCAAACATCGCATTTCGCCATTCAACACAATTACACAGGATACGTTTTATACGTCTTACTTTTCTTAGTTTTCGAGGTCAATCGACATCAGCTTCCGGGTGTTCTTCGAGTAGCCTAAAAACTTATGAAAGTGATCCCTCACCTTAGCAAAAAAATTGATTTTACAGCAACCTCAGTTATACGTAGATTTCCAACCTCGGTCTCTCAACAGCTTAAGCTAACATCACAATAATGTACCAAAATTATTATCGAGGCCACATAGGTAGTTACATATAACTAACACTACTAATTCTTGCGTAACGCATCGTTAAAGGAACGCATACCGCGATGTAACGTTTCCTCAATTTCCTCGATTAACTTGAGCCTAATCTGAAGTGTAAAACAATAGAAGAAAGAAAAGTTCATATCGCTGACAATCACAAACTCTTAGATCACAAGTGCACAGCATTTGTTCGTACGTAGTTGATAAAGCCTCAAAAATTATTATTACAGAATAAATTGTCACCTTCGATTTGTATTGCATTCAACTACACGCACTGTTACAGTGTTATTATTAGACATGTTTGTTCTGTTTTTACTGAATCTTACATATAAAATACATGATATAGGTTTTTATAGAAGCAGCATATTAAAATAAATTAATTTCCAGCACAGAAAGAAAATCAGGGCTAGAAAATATAATACAAATATAAATCTAAATTAAAAAGTTATATTACAAAATTAATATAAAGTCCTAAAAAACTTTCCTTGTGTATATTCAAGCTATTGAATATTCAGAGTTTCTCCTTTCACTATCTCACAGATTCGGTCTATGAATCAATCTTTTTTTGCAGCGACAGGATTCCACGGTCTTCACGTAACATATTATATATACAATGTGTATGTATAACTGTAAAATAATGAAATTTGATATTTAACGATATGGTAAATCAACGTAACGATTGATATTTTTTATTCTGTTTTATACTGTGATCAGCGTAGTCAACGAGTCATGTAATGCGCTTTGAGAACATCCAATTTTCTAGGCGTGTTTTATATTCACAAGACTCGATGAACGCATCTTAAATATACACAGCGTAACGCAAACTTAATGTAAATACCCTTTACAACTATCACAGTTTGAGGTTGCTGTAAATCAATGTTTCGCGTGTAATGATGAACTATATTTTTTATGAAATTTTTATCCGTTCAGAGAGAGAATGGAAGGATAGGTGTGGAGGACACTTGGGTTTTGTTTACAATAAGTGTGTATATGTATGTCTGTGAGGTAGAATCCAATCTGCAAATGAATACAAATTCAACTTTCGATCCGCATATTCTATAAGTGAGGGGCTACTTCCGTCAATAATATATATATATACATATATATATATATATATATGTAATGTAACATTAATTAAAAGTAATTCAGCATTAAAATAATGAGATATACCGCGACGAGAATGACAGTAATAATGATGGCAATGATACTAATAATTATAATTAATATAATAATAATAATGATGGTTATGTGCATAAGAATGACAATAATAATAATAATTCATAATAACTAGTACAACAACGATTAATGTTTTGTCTGCAATATAATGGCTGTATGCATTTATATATATATATATATATATATATATATATATATATATTTTTATATTTATATATTTATATACATATATATTTATGTATATGTATGTAGTTTGTATGATGAGACAAAGTTTGTCAGCTATGTACAGTACATGCTCGCCTTACAAGTTGTACTATCTTTACGTTATACGCCCTTATATTTTTTCGCATTAATTATATGACAATAATAATTAATATTTCAATAATAATAATCAGAATAATTACAATAATAATATAATCGTAATTATATTAGTATCGTTTACTCATAAAATATCCTATATTTATATATGTAACATGTACCTGTAATAATAAGTAGGTATATGCAGTATGTACGTAAAGAGGATGTGTTCAGATAGGATATGTCGATAAAAACTATGGGATATCAAGCGTCAACTTTTTATTTTCTCTCTGCTATCGTTTATTTCACCTTTTCTTCTTTTTTTTGTCGTTTTTCGCAAAATGATTGTGTGTTTATTAAAAAAGTGCACATTACTCGCGTCTCTTATATTTTATACGTACATACATAAATCGGCGTAGACTTATCTACTTCTTCATTGTCGTTAATAATTAGTTATTCGGTAGTTAGTTTTTTTTTTTTTTTTTCAATTATGTACTTTATCTTTCGTCCTTAACGGAGCGCTACGACAATCCCTCTTATTTATACATCATACATACATACATACGTACGTACATACATACATACATACATACACATTTGCGGGTGTACATAACACGTGACATGATATACTTTCTCTACGCATCGACGGTACATAGATATAACTTATCGTCGCGTCATATCGTTAATTTTGTTCCTCTTGTTATTTCAAAATAAGATGTTGCTGATGCGGGTATAGGTGTGTATATGTCAGATACCGAGTATAACCAGCAACTTTCTTATTTCTCTCTTACACATCTCATTTATTAGCCAGAGAATCGACGACACGCAATTCTGGACTTGCTTTCGTTCGTCTTTTAATTAAGACTCTTAGGCACCGTTTAAACCTCGAGTTGAGAGAAATGTTAGCAAAGAGCTTAAGACTTGTACTTACGGCCTGGTGACTTTTAGCACCTCCGATAATAGACCAGATTTGTTTTGTTTAATATATATTTACTCTCCTCACGTAGTTCGTACATAGAAATTGATATAATAAATTGTATAGAAGATGATTAAACGCATCACGATATGTAACACGTTTAAGAAGCAGAATTATTAAGAGAACTAAAATTACGATAAATTACAATCAATATCGTGCACAAAGAAGAATTCGACAACTCTTTTGCCAATTATTACATTATACTTCACAAACTAATTGTATTTTATTTCCAGACTTTAAGATACATATCCAGAAACAAGTCCAGATCACTTGTTGATAAAAATTACGTTGCGAAAATAAGCGTCAATATCTCGCGAGTTAACAAGATTCCATAAATATAGCTTGAACTTCTATACGTGACACTATCACCTTTGTGTATTGCTATTGCGGAAAGTGACGGTAAGCTGTAAAGAACGCTTCGGGCGCGTGTTGCACATTCGTCGTCGTTGCAAAAAAAAGACTATCGTTGAATATGAGGAAGACCGTTACATGTATATACAGATGCCGTGTTTTACGTGGAAAATTTATGTGAAGTCTTTCTCATCTCGACTGCGCTATAAAAATATCAATATTATTTCAAATAAAACGGTAAACGCCAAACGCGTTCTTCTCTATTATGTTTAATTTATACTTTTGAATTCTTATATATTTGTTTATTTATATTTTTAAATTCTTCTAAAAATGTTACACATGACGAAATCTGTCTCTCAACGTAGTTGTTTAATCTCAAAGTGCCTCCGTGTTTATTATTGTATTCTTTTCGGCGATTCACTTGATACACAGAATAATTTTACATATGCACGTTATCTTTTACATTCTTATTAAAATTTATCTCTCCGACGCATGTGGATCAAGCGAATCGCCAGCAAGTCGAAACGATAACCGCGTCGGATATCCAGAAAAAAGCGGTGCGCATCGCTTCGGCAATAACATTAGTTATTTTTCAAGAATAAAAACGGAGCGTTTTATTGTCGAAGCGTTCGCGCCACCGCCGAAGCGGAGAGATATCTTATTGCTGTTATTTTTAAAATGTAATATACACATTTAACTAATATATACTTTTTTTCCTCGTACAAAGAAATCCCTGACAGAACCTTCTCCGTCTTCTCTTCCCATTTGTTCATCCGCGAAAAAAAATTACTTCGAGACTCATTGTGACTCTGTTAATGAAGATTTTTATTTCGGTTATCGACATGTGTGTGTTTGTTCCAAACTAAAGCCAGTACTAGAAGTGCGTGTGTCTCAGTGTTTTCTTTCTTACTATACATGTAATATGTATATTCCACCATGGATCTCTACAAAAATTTCTACACTACATTTATTACGCAGGCCTCTATAAGACTTACGGTAGCCAACGGTAAACCTCTATAAAAATAAGAGCTATCCTACGTAAACGTATTACAAAAATAAATGGCATTGTACTCTGCTAAAGAAGCAAAATGGTACAGGCGCAATGTCGAGCGACGCGAGCATTGTCAATTTAATTTCCCTTCTCCGTTTCATCGAGTTCTCCGTCTTTGTTTTTTTTTTTTTTTTTTTTTTTTTTTTGTTTTTTTTTTTGTTTTTTTTGTCGGTATATACCTTTCGTTCGCTACTCGGTCGTTCGGATCGTACCGAGACCGATCGCTCCAAATTCGAAAGCTCCAATTCGTTTTTATCTTTACCGCCCGTTCTCTACGGGAAGACCCTCTTCCACGATCGACTTCCCACCGAAAGTCAGGCTTAATTGCATCACGTACTGCTCGTGCCAGGCGACACGAGGGTATAAAACGTACGCGAGCCGGGGGCTGTGCTTAACCAGGGCTATCAAAAGTACGGAGTCGATCACACGGCACGATAGAGCACTTGGTAAAAGTAGTCGGGCCAGGAACTGGCTTTAAAGTGTTAGGGATGAAACTTGGTGTGTGCCCTTCGATAAAACCACTCTATCCACGATATTGTTCATTGAACCGAGTATAATTCAATCTTCTTTGTTGAATTATTAATAACTCAAATATGTATTACTTTT